TAATCTCTGCATACTTTTAAGTAAATAACTCAGGTTAGCATTTTGGCCAATAGGCATACCATATTGTAAATTATGATATAAAGGTAAATGCAATATTTACAACATGATAACTTATCATGTTGTAAATTTTGCATTTACCTCCACTGAGTAAATTCAAAATTTACAACATGATATGCATCTTTTATTACAGGTACATTGTATTTTTAGTTATTGTAGTCAGGAAAGTGCATGTGTGACCTAACAAGAGGCCCATGGGCCACATCGCTCACCTGAGTAACTTTGGCCATGCTGTTCTTTACCAGATTTTCCCCCTTGTAATACCTCTTGTGGCCCCGCCCTACCCCCGGGGGTAATGATTTGAACAATTTATAATCTACACTACCCCAGGATGCTTCCATATGAGTTTCAGTTTTTCTGGCCCAGTTGTTCTTGAGAAGAAGATTTTTAAAGATTTTTTTTATATATTTCAATGTAGAACTTGGATTCCCTATTGTGGCCCCGCCCTACCCCCGGGGTTCATGATTTGAACAATTTAGATTCTACACTACCCCAGGATGCTTCCATATAAGTTTCAGCTTTTCTGGCCCAGTGGTTCTTGAGAAGAAGATTTTTAAAGATTTTTCTTATATATTTCAATGTAAAACTTGGATTCCCTACTGTGGCCCCGTCCTACCCCCGGGGGTCATGATTTGAACAATTTAGATTCTACACTACCCCAGGATGCTTCCATATAAGTTTCAGCTTTTCTGGCCCAGTTGTTCTTGAGAAGAAGATTTTTAAAGATTTTTTTTTTATATATTTCAATGTAAAACTTGGATTCCCTATTGTGGCCCCGCCCTACCCCCGGGGGTCATGATTTGAACAATTTAGATTCTACACTACCCCAGGATGCTTCCACATAAGTTTCAGCTTTTCTGGCCCAGTGGTTCTTGAGAAGAAGATTTTTTAATGACCCCACCCTATTTTTGTCTTTTCTTGATTATCTCCCCTTGTAAGGGGACTTGGCCCTTTATTTTAATAATTTACACTCCCTTTCACCCAATGATACTTTGTGCCAAGTTTGGTTAAAATTGGCCCAGTGGTTCTTGAGAAGAAGTTGAAAATGTGAAAAGTTTACAGACGGACGGACGACAGACAACGGGTGATCAGAAAAGCTCACTTGAGTTTTCAGCTCAGGTGAGCTAAAAAGTATCGATGCTTAAATCGTTAAAATATATATACATGAATATAGTTTTAAAATATATATTTGGTCAGACGCGTACCCCAGAAGAGAGAGAGAGAGAGAGAGAGTTGTCCATAGAAAAAAAACTAACCCCCCCCCCCGCCTCAGCAAATTATTTGATTCGTATCATATTGTTGCGATATGTATTTTATATTATCATGCTTATATAACCAAAACCTTTATTGAATCGTTGCAAAATACAAAATAAATCGTTAATAATTTGTAATTTTTCTGCAACACATTGATACCTTTTGAAAGATCTTTGAGAAACTAAATTTCAATTACGCTGTCAAATGCTATGATATTCAAGTACATTATATACGATTTAAAATACAGTATTAATTCTTTGGTTGATAACATATTTATTATATTTGTTGTTGAGCTTTAGAAAAGGGGTTGACGATAAGAATTTATCGGAATATGAATATCTGCACAAACATTAAGTCTTCACGGAAGTTATAACTTTGTGTTAAAACAATATTACTTTAAATTCTCTTAATTTCTAAAGAAAAACGAGAAGAATGTTTCTTTTTTACACCCAGGAAAATTAATAAATTCCTTGGAAAAACCCAGGATAATAATCATGGTCATACGTTGTCATCTAAACAGACATTCACGATAAATATGATGCACGCCTCCTGCTCTTAGCCCTAAAGACGTGATGACAAACTAGTATTGGTGGATACAGAGGAGGGGATTGGACACCCCTTATTTTTTGCCAAGTGGAGAGAGGGGGGGGATATTTTTTTTTTTCCTGGAATAGGTATTTTTACGTCTGGCACGTACGTTTGAATATAAAGTTGTAGTTCAAAACAGCTCGATCGGCCATAATCTCTGCCCATATATAACTTGCTATAGATATAGTCCGGCTCACATATTTCCTTTCCTTAATTTACCTTCTCTTTTTGTGAGAGAATGGTAGAAAATATTCTACTTATCTTAATATATGATAAAAAAAAAAAAACATGCGAGGTTCAATTTGATATCAGATTCCGGCGATCTTTGACTACATACCATTTTCGGATCATCTTTTGAAGGAACTAACTTTATAAGTCATTAAAGGGAGTATGCATTAGGTGGGTATAGGTTTTTAGGAAGTTAAAAAACAAACACAAATTTGTCAAATTCTCAACAATTTTTCTCTGTATTATTAGGGAAGTATATATTGCAAATCCATTCAATTTTAAGACTACAGTTTTTTTGGAATGTATTTGTTTGTATTCAATCTGACTGGAGGGTTCCTTTTCAAAAAATTAATGGACGTAAAACAAAGATATTTTTTTTACCACGGTCTAAGATTATTTTTCTCTCCCTGTGTGTGTGTGTAAATCTATTGAGTAAAGGGGGGTCACCACACGGCAACCCCCTCCCCTTTCAAAAATTGACACAATATGACACAAGCAGATATAGATTATTCAAACCAGTTGGTTGGATGGGTACACATTTACGATATTTATTCATATGCATACAAGATTGCAACTAATTAGATCTATGCTGATAATTATAAGAACCAAAGTGCTTTAACAACTATGTTCTATACAAGAGCGTTTCCACTTTTAATGTCAAAAAATGCTATTCCCATTCTCCAAAAAATCCCATTTAGCACCCAAACCCGAGACAAGTAACTTTTTAACAATAGGCTCTTGGGCCATAAAACTTAGATGAGTCACTTTTGATCTCGGTCTCACTTTTACCTTACGAATAGAAAGCAGACCGATATGAAAATGAACCGCCTCAAAAACGTTATTGTGTTTTATGTAAAGACGGATCGGTAGATGAAAAACATTTCTTATTTCATTGTAGAATTTTTGAAAACATCAGAGAAACTTTTTTTCATAATGTTAATTCAAATAGAAGTGTAGAACCAGTTGATAATTTAAACACTTTAATGAAATATAATGAAGACAAACTGCCAAATTCTTAAATTTATGCTTTTCAATAAGACAAAAATATCTATACAAATCAAATCAATGTCATGCGCATTCTCTTTTGAAAATAAAATATTGTATACATGTATATACTAAAGTGACATACAGGTCCAATGGGCCGGGTGTAATGTATATATGTTTCTATTGTATCTATTATTGTATTGGAAAACTGTATTCACTTGTCACTATAATAAAATATTTATTTACTTACTTACTTACTTTACAAAAGAAATATATAGGGGAAAGGTAAAATTGAGATCAAAATTGAGCTTTGTGGCCCATGAGCCTGGACTAATAATTTTTTGGGAATGTTAAATGTAGGTAGACTTTTTTTTTTTCGAAATGCCATTACATAATTTCCATAGTATAAAGAATGACTTTTCTTCTACACATAATAGATAGGGATGTGACAATACATCAAATGAGCAATGTATTGTGATGCGGAGTGCCTCTGTACATCTATACACAAATGAAGTACCGACTTTTTTCCTCGATTGATACTTTCCAAAAATATATAATACACATGTTTTGGTTTTTAAAAAGTTAAGTTAGAGTATTTTAATAAACAACAATTTGATTCAGAAAAAAAAAAAAGAAAAAGTTAAATCAGTATCTTTGTTTTATTTTACTTTTTGGTTTTAGCAAGAAAGTATCGAAGACTACTAGAAACAGATTTTTTGAGAGAAAAAAAAATGAAATCTACGATTTCGCTTTTAAAAAATTATTATGTAGCCTATCTCGTTGTAATAGTAGTTGGGCTCATGATTTCTCATTTCATTTTTAGTTGCCACACACATACACACACTACACTATACAAAATGCTGATCCTAGTAAAAATTAAGAAATGCAAGGTGTTGTTCACATGTGATCTTTTCTATTTTACAATGTCTTTTGTTGATTGGTGAACCGTAAACCATGATGCAACCCCACGAGGAAAACACGACGTGATCAGTGAGTATAATATGCCAGTTTATACGTTTACAATTTTGTTTTATACAATAAAATTTATAAGAAGAAAAAAAAGGGGGTAAAGTATTTGTATAGTCTTTAGTTTATGTTCACTTTCAAAACACAAAGTATTCTTTTTATCTCCCTTCCCCACAAATTATTCTTCTTTTACATACTTAAAATTTATTCAATATGTGTAAAATAAAAAAAAATCATGTTAAATAAACGTCTAATTGAAAAATAATTCGAGTATGTGATGTCATAAAATAGCAAAGCCTATAGCCCTAAAGCCTATGATATGATACCGCACACACAAATTTTATAAAACGCGTTTATTTAGAACTTATTTATCTTTATTTTTCATTTAGAATACATTGTAAATATATGCAGAAGAAATAACCTGCGATAAAGCATAATAGTAACATGTTTGTGTTTTGCGATTAAAAAAAAATATTGTGTGTGTGTGCCCCTTGTATATATAACCCCATGATTATATAACAAATAATGAAGTCAATTATGAAGCACTTTGTAGACGGTTTGTACTTTTTTGATGATGCAATATGCCATAGCACGAAATCGACCTTGATCAGGCACAGGTATGATATACCTTTTAAAGCTAGGTTGCTTGAGGTATTTGGTGCGCTTCAATTGTACAATAACTGAAAATAGAAAAATATGTATATAGTTAAAATAATACACGATTTTTGTTTCTTCAAAAAGTTTGGCTATATAAAAAAATGAAGGGATTCACTTTCCCATTTTCGGTTAACTATCATCCCGCCGGGGCCTCTTTTGATCTTATGAATGAAGAGGTGATGATGCAATTAGGATCACGTGGTTTATTTACATATCAATCATAACCAATCAAATGCTTCCCGAACGATTAGCGCGAACAGTAGTATCTGCAATGGACGACGTAAACACAGCAGCTATTTCAGTATGGGTGCATGTTTTGTTAATTTTATTGGTACATCCATCTCAAGGAAAATTCTACCGGTGGGGAAACGGTGACAAAAGTGTTGTAAAATTAGATTTTAAAAATGTCGATCCTCAAAATGACAATTTTCTTAGGTTTAAACGCGAAACAAGCAGTGGTTCAAACATTACTACGGACAGTAGCATGGGACACCGTGTGATTAGCAACAAGTTTATAATTCCCGATAAAAATCATACACAAGCTGTCGTTCATTGGTCGGGAGAAGGAAGCGATGTAAGTAAAAATATTATTGATTTTTATGAAGTAATTATAAATATTAATGCACGCGAAAGCCCAATTTTATAACGGGATTGGCATGTAAACAAAGAGTTGACCTAGAGAGTGTGCGCACGTGTGACGTTAGGTAACGGCATGTTAATTCGACTTAATCAGTATGAATAGGCTTTGTTCTGTTATAATAAAAAATATGATTTTAAGCACATGAAGAAAATGTGTTATGTAATACTCTCTGAGGTATAAATATTTATTCCACGTGTTGTTGACATCTGCAGATCATTATGATTATACCAGTGCGTCTCATTTATCAAACATGTCAAATGGAACAGATTATTTTTTTTCTTTTTGGCTGTCATTCACATGCAGGGAATCTATTAACATACGAAAAAACAAAAATCTTCGTTTCTTGAATCACAAAAGTAGTTCTTCAATTCATCTGATAAAAAAGTTTTTATACCAGAAAGTATAGCTCTTTAGGTACTTTTGCAGTAATTCCATGTATTATTCTCTGTTTACAAATTAACACACTGAAAAAAAAAATCATTATATTTGTTAATATACATGTAATATGAATAGTTTGATGACAGATATAGGGGGGAATTATACACATATATGTGACTATACAACCACACAAATGATATGTCCCATTTCAAGTCCAGCTCTCTTGGTTGTAATGTGTGTGTATTCATACTGGATTTAGATAAATAGCATGTTACCACACAGTATACTGACAGGGACATCATTATGGGATTATATATGGCTTTTATTCCAGGGTTCAAGGTTTCAGTGTACTAAACAAATAAACTGCATTTAATCTGACTGCATCTTTTGTTTAATTTCATATTTCATTTTTCTTTAAAATATACATGGTGACATAGAGATTTTTTCACTTGTGCTTTCTTTTTTCTTGTTTTTCCCCCTTATTATAAGTTGTTTTTTTTTTTGTCTGGACAAAATGTACCTTTTAAAAACAATTTTTATATAAGCTTTTTAAAGCCTTGTACAAATTTGTTATTTCTATGATCTATGGTATATGTGTCTAATAGTAAAACAGGTAGATTTTTTTGTGATTAATCTGATCTGGAAGTCCAGCAATGGCAGATTATTGGCAAGACTGCATGTTTATCTCATTAGGTTCAAAGAACGACCAACTACGTCATTCCATGGGATATAATCTACTAGGATATGTTTTGGTCTGCCGCTTTCTGAATTTTTGGAAATTTTCCATCAAGATTTATTTAGTACATATGTCTAAGGTCAAAGTTGAAATAAGGCTATGCATTTAAATGTCATTACCATTTAAATGTACTAAAAACAAAAATTATTTTTCAAAGTAGTTCTGTAAGGAATTTAAATGTTTGGTTTCTTAATCTAGTGTGCTGAATCAATTGGAAGTTTCCTTGTAAATTTCAATTAAAAAACAAAACAGTGCAACATTTCAACACCATGCTTGTATACTTTTATAATAATCTTGGATAAGTTAAGCTAAAAAAAAAGTCATGCAAAATAGGCTCTCAAAGTTATATAAAAGATTAAGAACAAAAAACTTCCTATTCCTTGATAAGATTGGTAATTTAAGATGAGTTTTTATCACATTCCGTCAAATTTTGATGGGAATCACTTACTCCAAACAGAGTCACTTGAAATGAGCACACACAAAAAAAACTTTTATTGCTTTTATATCATGTATATCTTGTTTAATAAGATTTCTGCCACATCTCATATATTCTTAGAGGTTTCTACGGAAAATAAAAAATGCTGATGCATATATACACAGTATTCTAGTTCACTGCAGTCTTGGTTTTTATTTACAATATCTCCATTTTAAGTGCAGATCAAGTTCTTGGTGTTCAACAGTATAGATGTTAATATTACAAATTACGATTTTAAAAATATCAGATACTTGTGTTTTATACCTTACAGTTTAATCCTTAACAATTGATAACTTATTTGGACATGTGAGTTTATTTTTCTCAATTTCAGTTACAAAAATGACTTTTTTTCTTTTGATCAGGTGCTCTTTGTGTTGACCAGAGAACAGCGGGGTTATAGTGTAGTAGACAGCACATTCTGGAGGTATTTAATTTTTTACTAAATAACTAAATAAAATCTATGTTTTCTATTTAAACATTTACTGTCATTAAGTGCAGGATTATTTCAAAACTGGGTCAAAATATGGAAGTTTATTTATGGCATGTAACATTCGCTAATACTTGCCTTTAATACAACAAACATGCTAAATTAAGTTATTTTGATTGGATAATTGATAAGCTCAATTCATAAATCAAATTTCTACAAATTAAATTTGATATACTGAGTTTTAAATCAAATTTCTCTAAATAATATTTTTTATTTTACTGCCTTAAAAAAAAAACAAAAAAAAAACGCCCATTTTAAAAATTTTGACTTGTTGAATTAAGCGCAGACACCTTAGGCTTAGCAGGAACAGGCTAATTATAGATGAGAGAAAATTAACAGAACATTTCCTGTGATTGACATGATGCAATACTGCATTCCTACTGGAAGAAGTCATGAAAATCTTTTCTTTTTTTTACAAGGTCAGCAGATTATGGAAAAACATTCCAGAAGATAGGTTTTGACTCTGATGCTGTCCTTGAAATGATTTACAAATCTACCAATGCTTCAGGGAACAAAAAGGTAATCACATTTCATCTTTCAATCACAATGGAGTTTGGTGTGGTAGAGACAGGTGAACAAAATAGAACTAAGGCCTAAAAGTAAAAAAAAAAAAAAATACGAAAGGAAACATATCCTGCACATTGATTATGCACTTTTTTCAAAAATATAAAGGTGCCATGGCATTTTCGTATTATTCTGTGGAATCATTCTAATTTGTGTGTTTGGGGGGAGAGGGGGGTGTTTATGGGAAAACTCAATTTTACTGGTTCATTGGGGACACATAATTTTGTAAGTAACTCATTTACACAGAAGATTTTACAAACTGAAATATTGACAAAATTATTGTTCATGTGGATGTAAATTCATGGATAAGGGTGACTTAAACCAAAAAAAAAAAAATCTACAGACATTGGTCCTCTACAAACAGTGATGATTCCACAGTAATTTATCTCATACCGTTGGAGGTTACATTTATGTGTTGAATAATGACAATCTATAAATATATATATATATATATATATATATATATATATATATATATATATATATATATATATATATATATATATATATATCTGCAGGGTCATTCTTAATTTCTGCATTTCTGGAGAAAGCTGACTTAAATATAACAAAAAATGAACAAAATATGAAATGAAAAATGTAAAGATATGTCAATGAAGCTTTATTAGAAGAAAGTAATTAAAATTATTAATTATTTAAGTAATACATTTGCTGTATGTGATCATCTTTTCCCTATGTATCATCCACATAGGGCACATACCCTATTTCTTGCACCAAAATAGTGGTAAACATGAAAATTTATGTGTTTGGTGTTTCAAAATTATGCAAAGCCACAAACAAAACATTAAATGTAGAGCTATGCATTTTACAAAGCAATTATTTTGGTATTATAGAACAGTGTACGTAATGCCTACATTGGGAATATCATAAATACACAATTTTTTTTTACCTAATTATCGTTTTTGTTTGAACTTCCTCTTTTACGATTATCAGTCATTTATATATCACAATTCTGGAGTTGTAAACAATTGTCAGAAATGACGACTTATCTGAGTGGAATCCATTGTAAATAGGCATGATTCTGTGAAGATAAGACTGCAGTGACCTTGTGGTGACCTTGTAGTTCCCTCGTTTCTTGGTCAGTCTTCTGGTTGTTTGGCTTAAATTTGGTCCTGATCCAGGATAGTCTGGAATTTTACCAAAGCGTTAAATTTTCCTCCAGTCATAGAAGATATCAAACTGTTTATCAAAAAAATAAATAAATAAAAACTAGAGCCGAGCTCGTTGCAATGCAACGAATAGGTCTTCCGTCGGAGCTCCGGACAGGACAGAGCGACCTTGAGTCAAGGTCATGCAACATTTTAAGGTTATAAACAATCCTGTAAGGGGCATCAACTTTCAATGTTTCAACAGTAGAAAGACAGTAAAGGAATGTAAAATTCCCCTGTCAGTGAACTTGAACTTGTCCAAATAACTTTGCATCAAGCCATGACACATTCTGCAGCTGGTTAAGAGCAAACACCATCTTTATGTCACCAACATAAAAAAAAATCACAGTCACGTATTCTTTCAGACTATTCATCCAAAACATCATATTCTAAGTGACCTCGAATTTAAGTCAAGGCCATTACACACTCTGGATGATATATTTATCATCTTTTCAGTGAAATGCAAATGCATGCAATTTTTTCTATTACAAAAGTATAGACCTTTTTGTTTATTTGTTTGTATGTTGTTTAACGTCCCTTTCGAGAATTTTTCAATCATATGGAGACGCCACCATTTGCCGATGGAGATCTGCAAATTTTGACCTATACTCGGCACACATGGCCATTTAGCAGTGAGGGATCTTTTTCGTGCCAGCACCTACTGCCAGACGGGACCTCAGTTTGTACGGTCTCATCCGAAGGATCAGTCTCTGCGTCCCACAGTGGGATTCGAACCTGCGACGTAAGGATCAACTCCATAATCCACGACTCTAGAGCAGACACTCTTACCACTGCGCCACTTGGGTGACTAGACCTTTTTGAATTTTACACTTATATCAGTGACCTTGAACTTGCCTAAATGACCTACGTTAAGGTCAAAAACAACCTTTGAACAAATTATGAGTTTCCAGTGATACCCAATGACAAAGATATACCTGAAAAAGAATATTGCACTTTTCTGTCAGTGACCTTGAACTTGCCAGAAAGACCTTGGATCAAGGTCAAAACACATTCTTGGATCATAAACAATCTCTGTATCAAGTAAAAGCTTCCAGTGATTTGATATAACAAAGTTATAGCATGTGGAAAAAAAAAAAATATTTATCTGCCAGTGACCTTGAACTTGCCGAAAAAACCTTTGTTCAAGGTCAGGAAAACATCTCAAGCAATCTGAGAAAAAGTTTCCTGTGTTCCTCCCACCCCTTATAAATTTATAATCCAGGCACGAATTTTGCCACTTCTTCTGCCAGTCTAGTACTATGTTACCTCAAACCGGTGGATCATAAGCAATCTTTGTTCCAAGTATGAGCTTCAAAAGTTATAACACATACAGTAATCTTACAGTTTTCTGTCAGTGACCTTGAACTTACAGGAATGACCTTGGATGAAAGTCGTGTCAAACCCTTTAATTTTGTCATACGCAATTTCTGTATCAAGTATGATACTTGCTATTTTTTTCCAATGACCTTGAACTTGCTGGAATGATGTTGGATCAAAACCATGACACACCTTCGGATCATTAGTAATCTTTGTACCAAGTATGACCTTCCAGTTTCTTCATAACAAAGTTATAATATCCTTGGCGAACTATCACGTACAGACGGACAGCTAGGCAGACGGACAGTGAGATTCCAAAAGACTCAAAACACCCCCACCCCAAACCCACACACTTCGTTTGGGGGGATATATAAATTCCTTTGTTAAATTATGAAAACTCTTTCCGGCCCAAACCTTCTCCCTGGAATCAATATTTGAAAAAAAAATGAATGTATGCTATGTTGGAAATTTTCTCATTCTAGTCCAGGGATTCTTGAGAATACTATTTTCAAATGACCCCATGCGCGGATCTAGAGGGGGTTGGGGGCAGTTAAATGTATATACTAAACAAGAGGCCCATGGGCCACATCGCTCACCTGAGTAACTTTGGCCATGCTGTTCATTACCAGACTTCCCCCCTTGTATTCCCTATTGTGGCCCAACCCTACCCCCAGGGGTCATGATTTGAACAATTTAGAATCTACAATACCCCAGGATGCTTCCACATAAGTTTCAGCTTTTCTGGCCCAGTGGTTCTTGAGAAGAAGATTTTTAAAGATTTTTCCTATATATTTCAATGTAAAACTTGAGATTCCCCCTATTGTGGCCCCACCCTACCCCTGGGGGTCATGATTTGAACAATTAAGAATCTACACTACCCCAGAATGCTTCCACATAAGTTTCAGCATTTCTGGCCCAGTGGTTCTTGAGAAGAAGATTTTTAAAGATTTTTTCCTATATATTTCAATGTAAAACTTGTATTCCCTATTTTGACCTCGCCCTACCCCCAGGGGTCATGATTTGAACAATTTAGAATCTACACTACTTGAGGATGCTTCCACATAAGTTTCAGCTTTTCTGGCCCAGTGGTTCTTGAGAAGAAGATTTTTAAAGATTTTTCCTATATATTTCAATGTAAAACTTGGATTCCCTATTGTGGCCCAGCCCTACCTCCGGGGGTCATGATTTGAACAATTTATAATCTACACTACTTGAGGATGCTTCCACATAAGTTTCAGCTTTTCTGGCCCAGTGGTTCTTGAGAAGAAGATTTTTAAAGATTTTTCCTATATATTTCAATGTAAAACTTGTATTCCCTATTGTGGCCTCGCCCTACCCCCAGGGGTCATGATTTGAACAATTTAGAATCTACACTACTTGAGGATGCTTCCACATGAGTTTCAGCTTTTCTGGCTCAGTGGTTCTTGAGAAGAAGATTTTTAAAGATTTTTCCTATATATTTCAATGTAAAACTTGTATTTCCTATTGTGGCCACGCCCTACCCCCAGGGGTCATGATTTGAACAATTTAGAATCTACACTACTTGAGGATGCTTCCACATAAGTTTCAGCTTTTCTGGCCCAGTGGTTCTTGAGAAGAAGATTTTTAAAGATTTTTCCTATATATTTCAATGTAAAACTTGGATTCCCTATTGTGGCTCCGCCCTACCTCCGGGGGTCATGACTTTAACAATTTAGAATTTTCACTATCCCAGGATGCTTCCACGTAAGTTTCAGCTTTTCTGGCCCAGTGGTTCTTGAGAAGAAGATTTTTTAATGACCCCACCCTATTTTTGTCTTTTCTTGATTATCTCCCCTTGTAAGGGGACTTGGTCCTTTATTTCAAAAATTTAAACTCCCCTTCCCCCAAGGATAGTTTGTACCAAGTTTGGTTAAAATTGGCCCAGTGGTTCTTAAGAAGAAGTTGAAAATGTGAAAAGTTTACAGACGGACGGACGGACAGACAGACGGACGGACGACGGGTGGTCAGAAAAGCTCACTTGAGCTTTCAGCTCAGGTGAGCTAACAAGTAAAACTGACCATGCCCCCCCCCCCCCCCCTTAGAAAACACGGACCCTTCCTCGAAAACGCGGATCGGTGTTAAAATGGTATGAAAAGTCTTCGGTATGAAGGTTTAAAGTCAACGAACCCCCCCCTCCCCCATACACACACACAAACACACACATGAAATAGGTTTTTCACGTTTGGGAAAAGAGTTTCTTTTTTTGGCTCGTCAAGAAATTTCTGGGTTGAAATATTTTTTTTTATTGGGATCCCCTCCCCTCCCCCCCCCTCCGTGGAAAAAAATTCCTTGATCTGCGCCTGGACCCCATCTAATTTTTTCTACATGTATCCGTTAAAAGAGGATGTGACCCTTCATTTGAACAAAACTTTACCAAAAATATTCTGTGTTAATTTTCGTTGTTATGGTCCAGTGGTTCTTGATAAGATAAAAATGAGAAAAATTTACGAG